CTTTTAAAATCATCTCATTTGGATCATCCATCTATTTTATATGAATTTCACAAAACTGTAAATTAATCCCAGATACAGTGTAAACAGCCCCAAAAACACACTGTTTCGAGCCACTTAGATTCATAACTGGAATTTTGACCCTTAATGAAAGTTGTAGTATGCAGTATGATCTTCCTGACTGCAAAATACGAGCTTAATCCGACTTACGGTTTGTAAGTTATACACTATCAAAGTACGGGAGTTACATTGTCGGTAAAATTCGATTCCGTAATTCCCGACTAACTTTTATGATCCAACTTCCGTGATTCGCCACATTTACATGCTATAAACATATTTTAACATGCTAAACAGTAAAAGAAATCCAATTGTTGCTAACCTAAGCTTAATCATACATTTTTACTCCTTTCGACATTTAACCGAACAATTGGTGTACGGTTAAACATATACCCACAATCTAACTATAATGAAACTATAATATACCCTTTTCATTCCTACATCAATATAACCAGTACTAGCATCCTAAACATCAAATATATCATAATTTTGACAAAATCAATCCGTAAACTTAGATATAAACACAGTTTATAAACCGGTCTAAATAACCCTAACATAAACATCTTAATGAAACTGAATGAAACTTATACCTTTAAGAAGAGTTCGGAGAGTGGATTCTGAATATATAATTGTTACTTCGATTCCCTTAGTAACTTGACGTCAAATTTAGAAAGAAGACGAGAGATTTTTAGAGAGAGAAATTGAGACGAGGGATTGAGATTTGAGACGGTTTGCAAAACCGCCTCATGCATGCCTATATATATATATTAATAATTTTTTTTAAATGTAACCGCCTTATACATTATATATATATATATATATATATATATAATTTAACTATTTGACGATTTTAACACTTTATGTCTAGATTCCCAACTTTACGCCGAATTAGGTATAAACTCAACTTTTGACGCAAAACTCGTCTGAAGTACAAGTTGGTATAACATAGGGTACAAATATGTTATGCATAATTCTACCAAAATTCTCTTAACCCAATTTGTACGAGTTAATGGAACACGGATATTATATGTTATCTCAGAAGAAGGGATTAAAGTGGATCCAATCAAGATTAAAGCTATTGAAAAATGGGAAGTTCCAAAGACTCCAACTGAAGTCAGAAGTTTTCTTGGATTGGCTGGGTATTATCGTAAGTTTATACAGGACTTTTCTCGTATCGCTACTCCATTAACAAAGCTGACCAAGAAGATGTGAAATATGAGTGGGATGAAGCACAAGCTYGGGCCTTTCAGATGTTAAAAAATAAGTTATGTAGTGCACCAATTCTATCTTTACCAGATGGAATGGAAGATTTTGTGGTATATAGTGATGCGTCAAAGATGGGTTTGGGTTGTGTACTAATGCAACATGGAAAGGTAATCGCTTATGCATCTAGACAGTTAAAAGATCATGAAAGACAGTATCCTACTCACGATATGGAGTTAGCGGCATTAGTGTTTGCTTTGAAGATATGGAGACATTATTTGTATGGAACAAAGTGTCAAATCTTCACAGATCATAAGAGTTTGCAACATCTATTCCATCAGAAGGATCTGAATATACGTCGGAGAAGATGATTGGAATTGGTAAGTGATTATGATTGTGAAATTTTGTATCATCTAGGAAAGGCAAACGTAGTGGCCGATGCGTTAAGTCGACAATAGAAAGGTGGAACTATCAAAGCTACAGCTTTACGAGTTGAGTTATTACCCAGTATTCAAGAAAAATTACGAGAATTTCAACATGAGACAATGAAGGAGGATAAGATCAAACAGGAAAGATTGAGTGGATTAATATCTGATTTGGTGAAAGATAACAGAGAATTTTGGAAACTCCATAACAGAATTTGGGTACCATGTTATGGTGATCTTAGAAAACGTATTTTGGATGAAGCTCATAAGTCACGTTTTGCGATACATCCAGGTACAAATAAAATATATCGGGATTTGAAGCAACATTATTGGTGGCCAGGTATGAAGAAAGATATTGCTAAATATGTTGAACAGTGCTTGACATGTCTTCAGGTAAAAATTGAACATCAGCATCCCTATGGCAAGTTGCAATCTTTAGAAATTCCGGTTTGGAAGTGGGATAATATTACTATGGATTTCATAACCAAATTGCCAAGAACATCGAAAGGGTATGATGCAATATGGGTGATAGTAAATCGGTTGTCTAAATCTGCACACTTCTTACCTATRAAAGAGTCATATTCGATGGAGAGATTGGCAAAATTATACATTGATGAAATAGTGACACGACATGGTGTTCCTTTATCGATTATTTCTGATAGAGATAGTCGTTTCACTTCTATGTTCTGGAAGAGCTTTCAGAGAGAAATGGGTTCACAAATTAAGCTAAGTACAGCTTATCATCCTCAGACTGATAGACAGAGTGAACGCACTATCCAAACTTTAGAAGATATGTTGAGATCCTGTATCATTAATTTTGGAGGATCGTGGGGTAGTCATTTGACTTTGGTTGAATTTGCATACAACAATAGCTATCACTCAAGTATTCATGCAGCACCTTTTGAGGTTCTGTATGGACGAAAATGTAGAACTCCTTTGTGCTGTAATGAAATAGGTGAAAAACAGTTAGATGGGCCTGAGTTAGTTCAGCAAACTGCAGATAAAATTGGAGTAATACGAGAACGGATGAAAGCGGCACAAGATAGACAAAGAAGTTATGTAGACAAACGTCGGAAGCCGATTGAGTTTCAAATAGGTGATAAAATAATGTTGAAAGTATCACCTTGGAAATGAATGCTACGTTTTGGAAAAAGAGGGAAGCTAAGTCCAAGATATGTTGGACCATTCCCTATTATTGGAAGAGTTGGGGAAGTGGCTTATAAGTTAGAACTTCCTTTGGAATTAAGTGGAATTCATAACAC